GCGTCTCCGGGATAGCCCGCAAGTAGCCGCTTCGCCCACGACCCCCGCTCCTCCGGGTTCCTGTTCCTGGGAGGAAGTCGGGCAATGAGTGGGTGCGAGCAGCCGGAAGTGTGGCGCTGCGCAAAAGCGAACCTTCCTGCCTTCCCTTAACTCTTCGTTGCGACGCGTGGAAAAGGTTTGCCCGCGGCCGCGATGGTTGACACCGGGCGAAAGAAACGAAGTGGCGGATCCCGACACCCAAAAACACCGCCGGGCAGAGGGATCCTGCTCAAGGCCCCCGATCCTTCTGTCAGCACTGGGCGTCCGGCGCGTGGAAGTGTCACTTTTGGACCGCCGTTCCCAGAATCCCAAGCCAGCGCCTTCGACCTGGTCCCTCGGCTTGGTCCCTACCTCGCAGGGTTGTTTTGGTGATAGAGAGAAAGAGGAGAGCTCAGTACGCGCCACCTTGAGCTCCCTCGACAAAGAAGTAAAATAAGCAAATGTAACAAACAAATGAAGAGTACCTGGAAATGCCCGGTGGTTTGTAATTATGTTATTAAGTGCAGTTAAGTGTTCACACTTGCCATTGGGAAAGGCTGATGCGCGCCTACAGGATTTGGCGAACAGCAGATAAAAGCCTTGCAGCTGAAACAAACTGATGAACTCAGGTTGTCACCAAAGAAAGGTCTCAGTATGAACTAGTTTTGTTAGACAAATGAAGGGATCGTAAATTGATATTATAGAAATGTAAGCTCAGGGAATGGGTTTTAAAATGGCATTAATGATTTTATAAATACCTAATCGATTTTATAAATACCTAATCAGTCAATAAATTCTTGTTTATTCTGGGACATGTCACTTTTCACTTCATGGTAATTTAGCAGGTTTTTCCAAAGTTTATGAGATGTTCCATGGTTTAAGTTTGTCACCGCCTAACGAGAAGTCAAAGCCAGGTCTCTAAGCAATCAATTTAATTATAACAAGCCATCATAGAGCGTTTCCCTTCTGAGCGACAAAAAGAAATGGTGAACAGTTTTAAAATATAAAGGCATTATTTCTAACATCACTCTCTTTGTATCTTCAGCTATGTGCATCTAGATATCTACAGTGGATTCAATAAGAATCTGAACCGTCAACATCAGAGGCTCGAATCTCGCTATAGCAGCAGTTCTGGAGGATCATATGAAGAGGAAAAAAAGACATTGTTCTTTGATTCTCTTAATAATGCATATTTTGATAGTTGATGACACACACAAGTAGTGTTAGCTGAAAAACTTTGCTTGATATTTGCTTGCTGTGCGGCCAGCGTCATGCTGCTTCATTGGGTGAACCAGCCATCAAATGTTCTGGTTCCTCCCTCTTGTCTTCCAGCATGTGTACAGATGGACTAGCACTTATGTGTTTGTAAAATATGCTGTGTTCTAAGCATCTTTTCTCTAGCTGCAGAAATCTAGAACGTAAAACATCATAGCTCTTTCCATGGTGTGAGTTAGCACTTGATTTCAAATCAAGAACCAGGAGAAGTCTGAGAAAAATCCAAAGCAGATGATTTAGAGACTGGGTAGAGGAGCTTCCCCTCCAAAAGGGGAAGCTTTTGGAGCTCCTGAAGTGGTCTTGGGCCAATCCTATGTGGATTTATAGACCTGGTGGCTTGAAATTCTAACTCAGCAGAGTTAAGAATTATTGGAAGATACTGGAAGAATTAAATTCGGGGAAATAGACACTGAAGAAACATAGTGGTCACTGAAAGAAGTGACAGGATCAGTTTTAAAGCATTTCCTGAGGTAAATGTTTCAAGGTACAGTAATTGTAAGGAAATACATATATTCCCAAAAGACTAAAAAGTCAAAAATAGAAACCCAAATTTGCAACAAAGGCTAGCTCCCCACAGATGCTGCTAGTAGCAATGGTGGCATTGAGAGGTAGCCAGCCTATCCAGGTGGGTCTGAAGGAGGAGGTGCTAGACGGGTGGTAGTGGGGAGTCATTGCAATGTGACCGTTGACTTGGCAAGTGGCAATGTAACTGAAGAACAGCTTATGTTGAAATCTTTTTTCCCTTAAAAAATGTTACGTTGTAAATAAAGAGAAGCTGTTGGAAAATCAGCTGTTGGAAAATCATCGTTTTGCGAAGAATCTGTTCCTGAAGCAGGGAACTGATCATCGCAAAGTGAAATTTCCCCATAGGAAACATCACAAAAGCGATCGCAAAAAGTTTATTGTTACGCGGTTTCATCGTTAAACGGGGCAATCGTAAAGTGAGGCACCACTGTATTTAACAAGTTCACAGAAACAGGCTGAAAAGATTGGTCCCTTTCAAGACTAAAACAGCTTTGCTTTAAAGGAAGCAAGTGGACTAAAAGATTTTGCCTTGGATCTTCAGGTAAACATTCACTAAGGAAATTCTTAGACCAAACAGTCTGTTCACATAAATTTTTGAAGGGAAAATCAGCTCTAGCTCAAGTGCAATCTTAACTTTAGAGCCTGTCCATCAGGACAAACTAGAGGAGTCAGCTAATTTTATGGGATTTTGTTTTGTTTTTTTGTTTTTAAATCTCCTTCCTAGTCAAACAGGCTAATAAGAACCATGCTTGGAAGGTGATTCTGTGCCTGGCTTTAAAAATAGAGATGCAAAAAGATTAGTAATTGGTATGTAAAAACAAAAATGAAATAGATATTGAAAATAATTTAAAACTCTATAAAGAGAAAATATCGAGCAAATATTGAGAAATTTACTTCTATATCTTTGATATTACTATTTTCTGCTTTGTGGCTGGGGATGGTCTTGCTTGATGTTAGCAGAGCTTTAGTGCCTATATCCTGTCATAGTCTCCTGTCCATGTCTCCTACTCATTTTGTCATTATTCAACTGCATCACGATTCAAAAAAAATCCATTGGTTCTTATGTGTAGTAGCTATATGAGTTAATGGCCTCCCAAGTCAACATCTCTGCTATGATCTTGCAAACCAAGAGCATCTCCTGTCAGGTTCTCTCTTCCTACTACCTCCCCTTCTGGGTCCAGCAATATTGTCCTTTGTAGTAAGAAAGGACAATACAGTGGTGCCCCACATAGCGACGATAATCCGTGCAGCAAAAATCGTCGCTATGCAGATTCGTCGCTATGCGGGAAAAAAGCCCATAGGAATACATTAAAACCCGTTTAATGCGTTCCTGTCAGCAAAAAACTCACCTTTAAGCGAAAATCCTCCATACGGCCGCCATTTTCGCTGCCCAGTAAGCGAGGAATCCGGGCGAAAACACAGCGGGTGGCCATTTTTTTACCCTGCGGCCATTTTGGAACCGCCGATCAGCTATTGGGAAATCATCGTTATGCGAAAATCAGTAAGTGAAACAGCTTACTGATCATTGCAAAGCGATATTTTCCCATTAAAAACATTACAATGCGATCACAAAAACGATCACAAAAACTTAATCGCTATGCGGATTCGTCGTTAAACGGGGCGCCCGTTAAGCAAGGCACCACTGTATTGCTGCTCAGGCCTTGGAAAATAACAGCTGTGGATTCTTTGGTTGAGTCAACCAATCATGTTAGGTCTTTCTCTTTTCCTGCTGCCCCCACCCCCAATTTTTCCCAGCAATACGGACTTTCCTGTTAGGTTCTCTGTTCACATTATATGTGTGTGGTAGGATAGCCTCAAGTTATTCATTTCTGTTCTAGTGTGAGTTTGGACTTCACTTGATTAAGAACCCACTTCTTTGCCTTTTTTCTGATCTGTGTTACTTATAACAGTGGTCCCCAACCTTTTCCCAACCGTGGACCGGTCCGGGGGGGTGACGCACTTCATTGGGGGGATGTTGTGCTTGCAGGGGCATGTTGTGCTCAAGCAAATGCGTGGAGGGAGCTCTCGCAGGGAGCCAGGAGATCTGTGTGAGCAGCCTGTTTCTGCCTAGGCCACAGACAACAGGTTGGGGACCCCTAAGCTATACGGCTCATCACCAATACCGCATTTCAAATCAGTTAATCACCTTATCTTTTTTCACTGTTTATCTTTTACATAGTATGAATGATTTTGAGCTAGGTTTCAAGTACCAATGTTTGCTAATTCCTTTTTTCTTTTTTTATTTCAAAAGATGGATTGTAGAGCAAAGCTTTGGAAATTGGAAGAAAATTGTATAGTCCGTATTCTGTGACGAAGGAATGGCAACATTAGTTTAACTGAGTGGTTAAAGGATGTATATGTTTCTTTGTTGTATGGGTTGTACTCACACATACACTTTGGTTTCACAAAGACAATAAGTCCAAACAGCCTTTCAACAGAACTTGGCATAGAGGGATTCCAGCCACATCCCAGCTCTTCCTGCTGCTGCCCTTCCCCGGCCGCCATCATAGAGATCATGTGAGTATCTTCAGGGATCATCTAGCACTAGGTAATTGTACATGTGGGAAGTTTCTGTTGGCATTTCTATATAGTTTCTCTCTATTGAAACTTTGATTTTAACATTTTATTCTTCACAAAAGCCCTCTGTTTTATGAATGTAGGATATGAGGCTTCCGTATCTACAATTCAGAACACCAGGAAATGGCTCATTATTTCTGAACAATATTTTGCCTTTCTTGCCAGCAGAAAAGGATGGCAAATTTTACATCACAAAGGGCAGAGTGAATATTGACAATACCTAGGACAACAGTCAAGATGGTTTACAGAGTTCCCTCTTGTGCTCAGTATCATTCACAAAGAGAACCAAACGGGGACATTAGAGAAGCTGATTTTTTTTAGCAGTTAACCACATCTCACCAACACAAAGCAATTATCAGGGCTG